ACACAGAGAATACAGCGAAACGTCAAACACTGCAGATCCATCAATCACAACAGAAAGGCTCCTGACTCCAGTGTAACAGCTTCATTATTGACAAGAGATGGAAAAAGAGACTTGACACAGAACAGTTAGACCTCACGGAGAGATGCGTTCACTGGCAGCAGGTTTCCATCATTGCATTGTTTCTGACTTTTCAGTTATTTTTTTTAATGTAAATTAAGCCGTTGCAGGTTGAGCTTCCTTCTTAGCCATCATATATAAACATGCACTTTAATAGAAGAAAACGTATATTGCAATAAAATCCTGACTTTGACTTGTAGAAACATCATAGTTGGTTTGAATATTCAGCGTTTTCTGTTGTCAGATAAATTAAGTGATGTTTTGGAAATCAGGGGATATTTCACGAGGATTAAAGAGGCTTTTCAATTCTTACAAAAAAAAACCCAGAAATTCTGAAGGAAATTTAAAGGTCCTTTAGAAATGGCCTTTTCCCAAACCCATTGGTTCTGAAATTTAAAAACAAGGCTGGGTTTCTTATAGAGTGTGACCTCTTCAGTAATTGGTTGAAGGAAACATGAATGTATCTCAAGCGTCTCTTAAAAAAAACATTTCCAGGGGCGTAAACTTCATTTCCAGTTCTCCAAACTGAGAGTCCTGACTTGTTGCAGTCTTACGACATGCTGTAACATCGTTGTCAGCGATGTTTCCCGACACAGCTGTGTGCAGTAATTACACAGGAATGTGACAGACGCCTTCCTCATCCGTGCACTTTAACTCTCCTTATATATGAGCTGTGAGAGTCAATCAGCAGCACGGAGCTGAGTGAGCCTTTAGGATTTGTTTGGCGGTCAGAGGAGGACTTCACATGAGGGACATGGTTATTATATAGAAACCACAATGTGAGCAGTATAGTGGAAGTGTTGATGGCAGCCTGGGTGTAGCTTATGTCAAGCCTGAGAGCAGAGTAATCCGAGCATGAGGAGCTGTGTCACTCACACATACAAAGGAGAACACTCTCTAAACAGAGTGTCACAAAGCGGTCGACCTTTAAGACGTTCAGGCAGGAATAGAAAATGTTTTACTTTTTTAAATAACTCCTCAGGCAACTAATGACCTCCCTCCCTGTCTCTCTGTTACGTCTTTTTCTTGTTTGTCTTGTCTTTTCCAAGAAGTCCACAGATTGAGCATGCGAGGTGTCACATGGAGGAAATTGTCTTAATGTTGTTTGCATGACTCCCATCACTGACAGGCCGAGTGCCGGGGTGAGGTTTGTGAAAACACGAGCGGGTGAGGAAAGTGTTTATATATATTTGTATATATATCAAACGTTCCCTCTAAGCTTCTCAGCTCTTGTTGAGTTATTCCAATGTCAAGCCCCATTTGTCTGGTCCTGTTCATCTTTTCAAACAGACCGTCTCAGCTGCCGTCTCGTTAGGAAAAAAGAAGAGAAAACAAACAGATGGAAAACAAATGTTATTTTAGAGATAGGAGTGGATGGACTCAGAACTCGGGGCGAGAAAGAGAGAGTGTTAAACTACAAGAAGGAAAGGAGACACAGTTCAGACCTGAACTTGGACCATCCACCTGGAGGTCCAAACCCTCTGTACATGGAGCGTGCACAATAACCACTAAGCTACAGGCGCCCAGAAAGATGAATATTGTAGCCTTTAAAGGACTGTCTCTTTTCCTGCTGTCTAAAGTCTGATAAATACAGATGGGACGGAGCTGATCTTATATCGATATTGGGTCTGATATTGACGTAATTTACATATTGGATATCGGACTGTTGGCGCAGATCAAGGAAGATGGTTGGGCTCTTTAAACATTCTCAGCTCGCACAGTCTCTCTTTGAAGACGTTCAGACTGAACCTTAGGAAGTGCCTACAAATCATCTCCATCATCAATCATTCTTTTTTTGCTTTTAGAACAAGAAATGTAATGCAGGGTTAACTACAGCTTTGTGGAGCCTTATACATGATAACAACATTTAAAACAGTATTCATTATGGTTAAATAGATATTGGATCCAGTTTCGGTATCAGTACATATGTATGGAGAATCTCTACTGATGAAGTGTGCACTAATGGGACTTTGAATGTGGGGATTTTACATTTCAGGAGAGAGGAACTTAAAACATCAAAATACTTTTAGCTCAAACGCTTTTCACAAAACAATGAAGAAATCTTCCCCAATGAGTTCTGCGGACCACAAAGACAGAAAGAGCTTATGAATGATAATTTCCCAAATGGATCTGGATGTTTACCCGAGTTATACGCAGTTTAATCCTTCCCAGAATCCTCTTTGTTCCTCTAAAGCAGCCATCAAACTCTAACTCAGGAAAAGAGGGGCAGAGACTTCTTTTTGTGTGTCTTCTCATTCATACTGACAAATTATTTTCTGAGAGTCTATCAGCTGGTCGTCACTGTACGATCTTAGCGCCCTCTTTTGACCAAAGACGTGAATGTGCACCATGTTCAAGTCCAGTCGAACGCTTCACTCAGGTGATGAATGGACAGAGTGACCAGAAACAGATTAAACAGCTTCGACTGTTTTTGGAGATTTTATCACCACACATACTTCCTGATGTGAAATCTGTGTTTAGTTATTTTTTAAGATCCACATCCTGTTTAGGTACCCGAGTATAAAAAATGAAATACAAATAATTAAAGATGGTCTCAAAATATGACATTACTCAGACTATCAGTAAAAGTAAGAATTCACTTGAAACTGAACGTTTGACTTAAAATGGGAAATGAAAAATGCTGCAAAATAGTATTTAAATTATTTGTGTTTACATGCAAACTAACACACCCACACACACTGTCCTATCTTCAACAGCATTTTAGCACCCTCTACTGACCAAACCCATGTCTGTTAACGTGTCCAGATACTAAAGCTCAAACTTAATCTTTAAAAAGAAAAAGAAAGCCTGAAGGTCCATGCTGCTGAGCTTCATTCATTGTGTTTATATTTGTGCTTTTCTCCAGGCTCTCTTTTTTTCATTTTAAAGGCTTTACAAATGTTAGAAAATTAGGAACAATTCAGCTGTGGTGCAAAAGAATAGAAATACAACGTTTTAATATCTGAACATACAATGTGTATATCCTGAAAGTTTTCTTTTGTATCCAGTGCTGTGATCACAACACATCTCCTTCCTTTTAAGATGGTATAAGAACATAAAAGCATGCTTTAGAAGACACAAAGCACGTTCACACAAAACTCCAGATTTTTTCAGATGAGCTGCCTGTGTGAACGCAAACAGCCGAATTATTTCACTCTGACTTTTTCCGGAGTTTCTCCTGCAGAGTTTGGATCAGCAGGATTTTATGTGGGGAATTCACCTTGAGCGAGTGGGACAAGGTGGTGACATGTTCTCGTTTATGTTCTTCTCTGCTCTTATGTTGATATTGTAATCTGGTTGAACTACACACAGCATTGATAGAAAGGCAAATATTCTCATTATAGTGTCAAAACATAATGACTTTACCCAGAATGCTTTTTTCAGGGGCAGTCCTCCTTAAACATTTTCAGGGAATGGGCTACAATAAGAGTGAACTCTCTGAAATCGAAGAGTTTGCAACCTTCAAACAAAACAAACGGGAAAACATGGCTGATGTTTTGCATCATTATGTACAGCTGTTTTATTTGTGATTTCCCCAAAACATTATCAGTTTTTTTTACTACATACAATGCATGTAATCAAAGTACATTGAATCAACTTCAAAGACAAGAGCAAAAAAAAAAAAAGAGCAACACAAAAAAATAAACAGGTGGTGATTCTGTTCACAAAGAGAGAGAGAGAGAGAGAGAGAGAGAGAGAGAGAGAGAGAGAGAGAGAGAGAGAGAGAGAGAGAGAGAGAGAGAGAGAGCGAGCGAGAGAGACAGACATGGGTTAAGATTCTGTTTGTATGACACTATTTGTTTTGTTTATAATAAGGCTGCTGACTGTGCCATCAACAGCGCTGCCATGGCAACTGTATATGTTGAAAAGACAAGTTTCTGCTAGAAGCACTGAGGTCGGGTGAGATTTACTGCATGGTGGTGTGCATGGGTGACGGGGAAAGGTTCTTATCTTGGGACACAACTACAACTTTTTTAATTTTTTTTATTTTGTCCTCTTAATGATGACAACACTTCCTGCTATGGGAGGTCGTCGCCGCTGGTCATTCTTAGAAAAAAACACAAAAGGTTCAATCAAGTCAAATTAAAGTCAATCAATAAGTTCTGTACATCAGAACAGTACGGGAATTTAAACCAGGTGCTGTTTTTAGAAGCAGGAGAGCTTACAATATGAACAAACGTTCACTGAAATCATCAAGAATAAAAATAAAAGTGCTGAATGGAATTAAAGAATGACCGACAACGTGGCAACCTCCCGTGAGCAAGCTACCCTTAACTCGTAAAAACCGAAATGAACATTTTGAAAAGTGTGGATGTGAAGAGAGGGAAAACAGAACAGCTACTGGAACTGAATGAAACTGTCTTAACATCAGAAGTACAAAGACAAGTCGTCCTGCACTCTGCTTTTAAAACCCCTGATATTGTCCCAAAATAAGGCTGTGGGTTCTAGGCACACCAAGGTTACAACTGAGCTGAGCAATATGTGCATTTATGTTGTTTTTTATTTATTTATTTAAAAAGACATTAAACTTTCTTTCTGTACTGGATGAATTCATGTTTTTATTTCCTAACCACCCGGCTAGCCCGAGGTGTGACTACAGAGATTAGAGTTTTTATTTAAAAAAAAAAAAGAGAAGAAGAAGACAAACAGAGATGATGACAACAAATCATTTTGAGACATCACATGTTTTGCAGAGCATAGAGACAAAACAACAAGTGCATCATTGGCAAAAAACTGCTGGTGAGAGAGAGAGAGAGAGAGAGAGAGAAGTGCACACAGGTGTGCGTCACATGTGTGTGTTTGTCCTTCTGAGTGTGTGTTCAGTGTTGGTCTTTTTGTCAGTCTGTGTGTTCGCTTGTGAGCGCAGTCTTTGAGTGCGTGTGTGTGTGTGTGTATGTGTGAGCAAGCGCATATTTAAAGAGGTAGCAGAGAAATGCAATCAGAACAACAGATGAACAACAATCCTGAATGACGGCCAATCACCCGTCAGGACAGTAGAAAAGCCCGCTTCCTGTCTACCCGCTCTCCTAAGGGTCCAGACATTTGACCTTTGAGGAGGAAATCATTCTGAACACGAGCTCTATGTCAACATGTTTCTTTTTCTTATTAAACTTGTACTTTGGGATTGGTTTGGAGTTGTTGCAGTAGATCCCCAGCGCTGGCAGTAGCGACACAGTACTCCTCTAAAAATGTAATGCTATTCGGGAGAGGTTGACTTACTATCACAGAAAAGATCCTCACATGGAGAAAAACATTTTGATTTCTCTTTAACAAGAAACGGACATCACATCGCTGCTCTCAAAATGAAGGCTCCAGATTTCATAGGGAGGAATAATAATTTGACCGAGTCTATTACAGGGGTTGGTTGTCTACCTTCGATTCAATCAGTTCACTTGTTCAGTGTTAGAGTAGAGTAGTGTTAAAATATGTCAGACAAACGCTCCATAAATCCGAACAGATCAGGATTACAATAACAAACTGACCAATCAGAGAAAAGGTAGAACACCATCCCCCCCATGTTCTTAAAGGAAGAATAACTAATGAACTGTTGTCTTTATTATTTTCTGGCTTTGTAAAATCACAATCAATATTTTATTGGAATACTTTTACGTTTGCCACTAAGGATTAAACAACGTTAAAGACAGCCTTCATCGCGGCTGACGGCTGAAGAGATCTACTTCAACAATCCACGAACTGCTCGGACCTTCCTCTATGAAGGTGTTAAAATAACTCGACTATTCCTGAGGACAGACTAACATTTGATGTTTTGGAATAATGTGGCTATTAGGGTTAGCCAGATTATTCTCATTTCATATTTCAGGAATCACTTCACTTAAGTCCAATACATTTTTTTTTTTTTTTTACTTCATCAGACAAACGAGTTTCATTCTGACAAATTAAGTCACTTTTTTTTTCTAGCCAAAAGGTAATAAAACACGTCACATTTATGAAATGAAACTTTTCTATTTCCATAACGGCTCAAAGCTTTCCATCATCATCATCATCGTCGTCATCAGCTGATTGCAATACAAACTGAGCAGAGAGTGAACTTGCACATGCTGTGAGCTGAAATGTGATTCATTAGTCCATACGATACAAAAAGTGATCACTAAAGGCTTGTCGTGTCATTCACAGCATGTCTTTTAAAAGGCCTGGTTTTCATGAAAGCAGAGTGAAAGCAGCGGACCGATGAAGGACTCGGAAGCAGAGTGAAGAAGGCAGAGTGCCGCGGTTGAGCTGGAGCAGGTGTGTGTGTGTGTGTGTGTGTGTGTGAGAGAGACTCAGCAAGCTGTGGAGCAGAAAAAAACACTACTTGTATCTCTAGACTATCTAAAAATGGGATCCCAATGTTAGAAAGCCTTTTCAGAGGTTTGAGGAAAAGCTAGAGTCAGAGACAAACGAAGCAGACTGAGGGGGCCACACATACTGCGTAGTATCAGAGTCGAACAAACATCCTTATTATCTAAGTCAGTATTTTTCTCTCTAACTCTTTCTAACTCTTTGTCGCTGAGCGGACGAGTTAATCTGAAAATGGTCGCTCTGGTCTGATTAAGATGTTTGTGACGGTGCATCACCATCGAGCACCCTGACCTCCAGAAGAATAACCGAGTCACCGAGTCAAGTCGTCTTCTGGTCAAAGCTGATGACATCGTCAAAACAGCTGCTAGTTTAGTAGTATCAAAAATAATTTAAAGGTGTTCCCGATCTTAAGGAGGAGCTTCCTGTTCCGCCGGAGTCCAAACGACTTAGTGTGCACGCTGCAGGTTCATGCTAAATTCATATAACAGACTGAAAACAAGACATTATCTTCTCTTTTTTTAAAATTTTCTTTTAGTATTTTCTGACAAAAATGTGCTCGATGAACTCGAACGTCTCCTTCAATTTTCTTTTATTAAAATATTTCTATATTCCCTAACCTGCTCTGGTTAAGATTCAGCATCATCTCACGTGAGTTTAGTGTCATTATCGTCTTTAAATAGCTTATTCCACAACCGCTGACTGTTCCTCTGAGGAGCAAAATGTCACTTTCATGTCTCCGTGTTTATTATGCAGCTAAATTCAGAGAGTAGGTTAGCTTAGCTTAGCATAAAACAGCTAGCCTGGACGATTGTGTAGTTAACACAATCTGCTCTACAGAACTCATTTTATAACAAATTCAATTAAAAAAAAACAACAAGAAGTGCTTTTAATTATTTTTCCTGAAGTTGCTGCTCTCGCTCCGCTAACATTCTCGCACCATTAGATACTTTTTTAATGGTCAGACATGAGAGTGGGATCAATTTCTTATTCAACTCTGTAAGGAAACTGTAGTTCACATAAAGTCCCCTTTCCCTCTCGGCTTATTTTGAAGTTGTTTGTTTCACTCATTGTTGAATCTGAACCAGGTGAATACACTTGGTTTTGAGAAACAAACGCGTCCAAAGAGCAAACACTTTATCCAGCTACAGGATGCTTCAGTTGCATCTGTAAGCGAACTACCCAAACCTGTCTTTCTTTTAACTGCGTCTCCTTTTCCTGTATGCTCGAGCCAGGTGAGCAAAGCTACCTTAACTCTGAAGCTTCTTTAGGGGGTCTGTGTTCCCACAAATGTGTCACCTACACACTTCAAGAACTTTGTGTTATCATAAAAGTTATGTGAATGTAGCTTCACACATTTACACACCTGAGTGGTGACATGATACTGACGAGGCCTCTCTCTCTTTTTACTGACTTTTACTAAGATTTGAGATTTAAAAAAAGAAAAAATCATCCAGCATTTGAAAATCGTTAAAAAAGGAAAAGACTGTACATATAAACAAAAACCTTCCTAAGTAAGTGTTAAACACAATCATGCTGCAACTAAACATGTGTGTTTTTACACACGCACACACACACACACACACACACACACACACACACGCACACACACTGAGTATATATGTGCGGAAGGGAGAGGTAGTATGTTGGGTTAAAAACGCAGAGCCGAAGCTTGGCGGCACGTCGTCTGTTCGCAGAGACAACACAGACAGAAAAAACACAGAATGAGGCAGCGATGAGGGTCGAGGTGAGTAGAGCAGAACGACACACAGAGTGAGAGTTAGAAACATCGAGAACCATTGGGATCCACTCATATACTGACTGGTCTACTGGCAAGAGGATTCTAACCGACAACCTTCCTCTTTTTTTTCTAAAAAAACTGGCATCTAGTTAACTGTGGTAAAGATAGAAAACACTGCGGAGGTCGCTGAGGAGATGGAAGTCGTTTTTCTGTGTATGTTGTGGGTTTATGTTTGGTTCCCTTAAAGGCTATTGTAAAACAAGTCATCCTGTAAATGATTACTGAGGTATCTGTTAAATGTTTCCAGCTGAGTGAGGTTTTGTAAGTAAGGCTACTGAGGTGGAGCTGCTGACCTGGGTTGAGGGGACGAGGGGGGGAGAGAGGGGAGAGACAGCCGCCTTGTTTCGGTTCATTTGATCGCTAATGAACCCTCTCACAAAACTCACACACCTACTGTAAGTTAGTGTTCAAGTTTGTGAGGCCAGATCTATCGTGAAGCCACGTTTATTCCCAATGTGAAAGGAAAGAAACATGGCCTTTTTTTTAATCTGGAGGGAACTTCTCAGAACCGTTAAAAAAATTAAAAAAAGAACGGCGCAGCCTCTCCGTCGTCCCCCCTCTGTCCTGCATTCCTTTTCAAACAGATAATGTAGAAGTTGAAGTTAAATGTAAAAAAGTCTCCTTTTTTTATGTAGTTCAAAAACTATTCCTAAAACAAAATGATGATTGCTTAACAACAACAACAACAACCAAAAAAAAAAAAAGTTCCAAGAGCTGCAATGCAAGACACCGAGTTGTGAGAAAGGTAAATGTCACACTTTGGGTTTAGGAGGCGACATGTCATCGTCAGTCACTGCACACACCGCCCTGTACAGACCGTCACTACGTCCCCATGTGGCAAATCTTCTTTTTAAAAATACATTTTCTCCTAAGATTTCTCTATACAGATCTACACAGTCTTCTTGAGGTCCAATCCAAAACTTTTTTTTTTTCATCCTGGGAGGCAAAAAAAAAAGGAGCTATTCCTGCATTGTCCATTTCACAGTAAAGTGACACGTCCCATTCTGAAGCAGCTAAATCTGCGACTCCTACTATCAGCCCTTGGTGAGTTGTTGTTGTTTTTTTGAGTTTCTTTTTTCCTTCCAAAGAAGCAGAGCCTGAATGGCTGCTGAGTTAAAGCTATGGAGAGTAATCCTGCTGTAGTTGGCTATTGCAGAAAAGGAGGCGGTTAGATGGTTGAGTGATGAATGTAGAGGCACGCCCATGCTGTCGCGGATGCCACTGGCTGAATCCCGTGTCAGTCATGTGAGGCAGTGTTAATTCACGATCACTTGATTGTGTTGGGACATCCTGCTTCTGGAAAAGCAGATGTAGCGGGGTTTTTTTCTTTACTTTTTTTTTTTACAGAGCTGATGACCGCCTTTCCATTGAAAATGAAGAGATTCAGCTCCGCCGTTTCCCCTTCCCCTCAGATTACAACTCCAGGTGTTTTCCTCCCTTAACAAACAGGAAGGTGATTGGTTGCCACTGAGCTTCCTTGTCTGAACAAAGAGTGAAGCCACGCCACTGGTTAAAAAGGGGGCTGTTCTGTATTCAGTCCATAAAAAAGGGGGAAGGGGATCTCGATCATTTGCGTTTGGAAAAGGCTCCAGGAGTCCACCGCGCTCGTCTCTGCTTCATTTTAAATGACGTTCCAGCGCAGAAAGCAAAGCGCTAGCTAGACAGCAAACTCTGACACGCATTAATATCGACAATCTTGAAAAGAAAAAAATGAAAATTGAGTGAAAAAAATAAAATAAAATCACCAAAATGAAGATATAATGGGTACACTGTATAATTGTCAAAAGCTTTTCGATAGACTTCAGAAAAAGAGAGAAAGAGAGAAGATGTACATCCATAAGCTTGAAAGGGACACAGAGGACACTTCTGGTTGAGCTGTTGGGTGCCTGTAGAAAACCTGCTGCAGAGTCAAAGATGCTCAGACTGATGTTTTTTTGAGTTTAGATCGTGCACGGGGTCTCAGCTGGCTGGAAACACTCAACGAGACCACCACCGGGAATGTTCAGTCACATAAAGCCTTTGCAATCACAACACCAGAGTCTCATCATTGCAAGAGAGAAGACGAGCATCGTCGATAACAGAGTGTGACCAAGTCTGGCTCTTTAAAAAGTGACAACAACGGCAAGTGTGGTAGTGCCCCCTTTTCCAAAGTTGTTTACTGAGTGTTGAACCCAATCCTTACATCCCCCCTCTCAGGGCTCTTTAGGTGCCTGCAACTAGCAAGGCACCTTTAGACGATGCAAGAGTTAGGTGTTTAAATCTTCACCTTGGAGAAGGGACACACCATGCATGATTTTACATAATTAGTTGTAAAAATAGGGGCTACCTTCACTGCAGAAGAAGCCATGTTCAATGTTACACCTCCTCAGATTGAAAAGCATTCTGCTGCTTTTTCTTTCAGTCCTCTTTTTGAGTTTTCTTCAGATTTGTGGTCGGGGGCATTTCGAGGAATGACTACTTCTTCACTGCTTTTTGTAAAGCAGTGTAAAGATAGCATGTGTTATGAATGGGTGCTATACTTAAATTAAAGATTGATTGTTTCTTTAGTCCCCAAAAGGAAGTGGGGCAGCTACATTGACACAGGAGGAATGAATTGCAATTCTGACCGAGCCTTGATCTGTGATCAGATGTCTCATGTACTGAACGTCAGCTTTTAAAAAAGCCAAACTGGTCAAACCCAAATCCAGCAGTCTTCTACTGGGCGCCCAAGAACAAGTCAGATGTTTCACCAGGAGTTGAACCTAAGGTCCCGTAATAGTTGAATAAAACACAGGAGTCCATCTCCTAATTTGCATATAGTGCTGTATCTCCAGAGCATCTTGCCATCAACATCTGAATTCTCGTATTTTGCCTACATTAATCTCTAACTATGTACAGACGTAGCAAGTGGTATTTACAAAGTTTGTCCACAAGGGGGCGATCCAGGCCTGCGTGAGGGGGTGAGCATGCAATGTGTCGACAGAAAGGTTATGATATGATATGTAGTGATGTTGAAATGTAAGATCCTAAAAACCTCGCTTATGTAGCTGGTGTTGAAATTATATAACTGTGACTATAAAGTATGAGGCTTGATTTTTTTTTTATATTGAGTATAAAAAAAAGTTTCTTTCTCGGTTTACAAACTCTCCGTTTAGAGCATCAGAAGGATTTCATTCGACCAACACTAGATGCTCCTATATACTGTTCACTACTGTACAGCGCTACCATCTGTAGAATAGTTTCTTTGACCTGAAACGAAACGAAGCTTATGATGATAATAAAATGTAAGTATCTGTTCTCTAAAGCATTTAATAGGGGACTTTTAAATTTAACGATAACGTCCAAATATGCTCATGCAACCTGTTTCTTAAAATGAGTTAAATACAAACAGATAAGCTCAGGAATGAATATCTTTAGTAATCATTTGAAAAAAGGTTCCACCGTTAGCTTACGTATGCTGTTATTTTGTATTGATTAGAAATCACAGTGATGCCTATATAGAGCTTCAAAAACAATCTCTGTCTTCTGATTGTAAGCTTACGCCACACACACCATAAACACCAAGTACACTACACCAGACAAACTTTTTCCCTGAGGCAACAGCCGGGTAGTTGGCTTCTGTCCAACTATCAAGCTCTAAACTGTCTTAGCAGCAAATCTAAGCAGCCGAAACAAACGCTTCGTTTTGGATAATTACCATCGGCTTAAAACGTGACGTTGTGTTTGCGCATGTCAGTCTACAAACTTCACAGGTCCACGCACGACTATAAAACATCAACAGAGAGGTGCTTCCCTGCACTGAACCCTCCGCCAGAGCCTGTACACACACCCCCTTGTGGTCCATCAATATTCTCATAAACTGTACACACATCACCAAAATTAGAAGGACTCCTCGCACGCTTCTCAGTGCGCTCTAATGTGTGTGTGTGTGTGTGTGTGTGTGTGTGTGTGTGTGTGTGTGTGTGTGTGTTTGTGTGTGTGTCGTTTAAAAGAGGACACACACACACACACACACACACACACACACACAGCTGAGGAGGCGCCTTCATATCTTATACATTATACAACACTCAGAACTGTTTTGCTTTCTCAGAAGCAACCACTCTCTTAAATATATATATATTTATATATATATTTATATATATATATATATCAGCTTATACGTATCATTTATATTTATATAGCATTATACATACATTCTTGCTTTGTGAAATTCCCCTCAGGGAACTCAAACCGTAGCATTTCCTCTCCATCCATCCTACCTCCTTTACTCTTTTTCCTCCACGTCTCCTTTTCCTTCCCTTCCTTTATTTTTTTACACTAAAACACTCCAACATAAGCTTCAGCTGACTGTCTGAAACCTCTCTTAAGTTTGCACAAAACACTGAAACACAGGGCATGAAAACGCACCTGCTAGACTCCCATCTTAACAAAGTAAATTGAAGTTTTATTTCCATGCCTTTTCTGAAGCTTGCTCCTTTGCTGGCTAAGTAGATCTATTATATATATTTGGATGTCTTTGCTGTTAAAAAATCTGTAAATGTTTATAGCTGTCTAACACTGGTGAAGTAATATGGCTAGAAATATATCTGTACCTCACGCGTGGCAGCATGGTTAAAAGAAGTAAATCTGAGACTATTCCTGTCAGTCACCGCGACGGTGTGAACATGGAACAATGTTATGAGGTTGATGGTATTAAAGGATGTGGAAGTCACATCCGTCGAGCTGTCATCACTGTAAAAAAAAAAAAAAAAAAAAAAGGCAGGAGTCCAGCGGTAGGGTTCCGAGGTGGTGATGATAAAGGTGTTGTTTTTGTTTTATGTTTCCGGTAGAAGGGATCTGGATGTAATGAAATTTAATGCAGCACTGTGTTTTCAAATCCAGAGGTCAGAGATCATCCGGTTATCCAAGTACTGCAGAAACATTTCATGGTGTCTGAAATCCATTAATCCAGAGGTCCAGGTGTCTGCTGCTTGAGGTCCAGAGATGCGGAGGAGGAGGAGAAGGAGGACGAGAAGCAGGAGGAGGAGGATGAGCAGATTATGAAGAGGTGATTATCCTTCGTTCTCCCACATGTCCAGGTTTATCAGGGCTGGGGGAAAAAGGCGGTTTGGGTTGTTAAATCATCCTGTGTGTGTGCGCCTCTCCTCCTCTGCTATGACACCTCACTGCCAAACACTTCCAGCACCAGCGGGGTGAGCTGCATGCTGTGCTCGGGCTGGAAGGAGAGCGAGCGGTACTGCTTGGAGTGCTCCTCATTCAGGCTGCGCAGGTCGGCCAGCTTCTGGATCATTTTGGCGTAGAGGAGGCGCCCGCCCGGATGGTTGACCCGGATGTAGGCCTGCAGGGTCTCAGACAGGTGGTCCTGGAGCTGCTCAATGCGCCCGTGGTCCTGGACGCCGGGACGATCTGCCATTGGTTAGGGGAGACGATGCAGAGGAGGGAATGCAACCATTGTGTGCAGAGGAGGTGGGGGTCAGGGGGGTGCACAGGGGGGAGGGGGGAGCAAAGGAGAGGTTGAGGTGGAGAGGATGAGGATGAATGGGAGGAGAAAGAGAACATCAGTCAAAGCAGATTGATGTCTTTTAAATCAATGCCACAGTAAAGTAAGTGGATTGTAATTGTGGTCTTTGCACTTAGTTTACAGAGCACAAGCCATGTTATTATACTGACTGCTTACACTCAACACTTTCTAAATATGGTTATTTCATGCACAATATATAAATACTGTACATCACCACTGCTTTCTATTTCTCATGGGGTTTTTATTGTCCTCCTGACATGTCCTTAATTGATTTTTTAAAAATAGTTTGTTGATTTCCTTTAATGTTTAAGTTGCACAAGTGTGTGTGAATCTTCCACAGTTAGTGAAGGTGCTGCCATGTAAGTCTGTCACTTGGTGCACGGTGGGGAGAAGGCAGGTGAGAGCAGATATGGTTAATGTACCTCACCCTCAGCGGATACTCCAGTTAAAGAAAAATCAGTTTGTTACTTTAGAATTTGATTTTTTTAAGGCATCTGTGTGTGTGACTTCATCAGCACATCTCCATGTTGCATGAAACAATTAAAAGAGGAAATGGCTTGAGAGGTTACAGGAGAACTGGTTTCAATTCTTATATATTTCCCCAGTGGGTTAGGGTTAGTGTGAATTGTTTTCCTTTGAATAGCTTTCATAATTGACTCAATAGAAATGAAAACAAAGGCTGCCTCTTATGCTAGAACACTCTTAGAGCAGTGATTGAATACTTCTGCTACAGACATAATCAAATTGACATGATCACGTTAAAAGCTTAATTTGCTTGAGCTACTCAAAAAGATTTCTGGACTTTGAAAGAGGTGAAGTAATGAACTTCAGGTTTGATGCAGGAGGCTTTAAACAAACACTCTGATGTCATATTAATTAGTCTTATTAGAACTTATTATTAAGTTCTTTGGCTCACTGATACAGTGGAACCAAACAATCTTTGAAATGTTCAGATAGTGGAAGAGTTTGATTCATCTTTTTCCTGAGGTGGCTAAGCTGCATGATGGCATCATTTGTCATTCACTGTTTTTTTTTTTGTTTTTTTTTACATGTCACTGGATCTCACTTACTGTCTTTGCTCCTTCCTACTCATTTGTTCAACAGCATGTTTTGCTTTGCAGGAGCAGGAGAAACTTTTTCCATGCATTACCGGTTGCATCATACAACAACGTTTGGGTGAATCCAGGTCATCTAGCAACCCAAAACCCCCTTCACCGCACTGTTTATACTCTTCTGACATTGTGTTGCTAGTCACTCAATCTGCTAACAATCTGACTCGTAAAAAACGTGGCTCAGCTGGGAGTGTACCTACACTGTGAACACACAAACACAAGCAGTACCTGGGGAGAGCAGGCAGATGGCCATGAGCAGCACATGCTCCTCCTCGTGCAGGTTGAGTTTCTTCAGACCGACCTGGAACTTCACCAGCGGCTCCAATAGCTCCAGAGTGTGACCGGCTGCAGAGGACAACACAAACACACCGTCGGAGTCAATCCTGCTCGAAGCCAGGGTCACACATGTTGTGCTTTTTTCACTAAGTAATTAATGAACCTTTCTGCAGCAGCGTGCGGCACAGAAAAATCGTCACTCTGTATTTATGCATTGCACACAGAGAGCATCACTTTCTGTGCGAGTATTAAGAAGTGAGTGTGTGCTTGTGGCAGCTTTACTGCTTTAATGAAAATACCTGAAGTGAAAACCTCATAGTAATGTGAAAGTGTGCATAGAAAAAGCAGTGTGTGGGTGATCCTTGAAAAAAACAAAAAAAAAACAGACTTATATAACTTGTTCAGATCCCCCACCATTCAAAAAGAGATAACTCTTCAGTCGTCAGACTGCAGCAATATACACAAACTTATTTGATTGGATGTCTTTAAGCCAACCAGCGTTCCCAATCAATATAATAGACTGCAGCAGAGCAACACCCCATTTTTTTTTTTTGTTGTTGCAGGAATGGAAAACCATTAGCCAGGGTGAAATCACAACTGCAGCACATTTTAATACAGCTAAGTCATTTTGTGCTAGACAAGCAGAGGGATGGTGTTGTCAGAAAAACCCATGTCCCATGTTGACTAATAAAGTACAGCAAATATGACTCTGCTAGTGTCTACAGCCTATTGTAGAGACAACTCGGGTTGTCTCATAACTTGGGTTAGATGACTTTCTACACCCAGTAAAGTGGCTAAATACGAGACAGCGATGACACCGATAACGATTCAGCCTAAAGTTCAACACAACCTGTTACGACGATATCTTCAGGGAGGAACACTCTGCTTCTTGCTCGCTCTCTCTTTTGCTTATCTTAGCTTCGTCAATCACCGTCCTCTATAGGCTCAGCCATTGTATCAAACAGTACTAGCTAGTTAGCTAGTTAGCTAGTTAGCTGTATGCACTTCTCCAAAGAGAACCGCAGCCCAAACACATACAAAGTGCAATAAGCACACGACCGGGCCGATTTGCAGACATGGGATGGACGCCGTTCCCCCTGTTGAAAGTTGTTGTACCACTAGATCAACTTTAAAAGTACTATTTTAAGATTAAAAAGTTACATATTGTTGCTTTAAGGCAGCAGCAGGCTCCATAGACGACTCATTAATCTGTGTGTATTTATACATGGTGGACAGAGAGCATCATTTCCTGACCTACATGTGAGAAGGACTGAGACCTGAGTGTGTGCTTGTGGCTCTTTCATTGCATCAATGAAAATACTTCAAGTCCAAACCTCATAGTAATGTGAAAGTGTGCATAGAAAAGTAGTGTGTGTGGGTGATCCATGTCAGAGTCTGTTATATAAGATGGTAAAGAAATAAAATCACAGCTGTGTCATCAGTGAGAGTGTTTTCAGGTAGGTTTCTGTCAATTACACGTGTTGGATGAAGTGTCCTTAATGGACACTTCAAGACTAAAGGGTATATAAGGAGTAAGGGGAGAGTGTGTCATCAAAAAGAAAGGTCTCTGACAGACCGCGTAGAGCCACATGACAGGGTTCAAATACACCATTTATATGTTTATGTTATGATTCAATAGTTTCTTAGCTTCACTGTGTTTCTATAAGATTAAGAAACTAAACCGACCCTTTGTGACATCAGTGACGCAGTACTTGAAGTCGGGTCCTCCGCAGCTCCAGGACATGTCCTCCAGGTTGAACGACTGGTTTGAACGCAGCATGATGATCTCGATGGCACTCGACTTCAACAGAGCGATCTGGTCTTCTGCCGTCAGATCTCTGAAAATTAAAAAAAAAAAACATGGTAAATGTTCCCATTGTGACATCACAAAGGGCAGTAACCCCTCCCTCAGGTGGGTGACACTCCCACAGCTAGGTGTTTGTTCTGCCCTCTGAGTCTGCCTTCTCACCATTAAGAATTTGGCATGGTGCAAAAATGCCCAAGGCACAGCCACCTTCCAGAGAGGGGGCGTGGTCAGACACAGCTCATTTACATTTAAAGCTACAGAGACAGAAACAGCCTGTTCTGAGCAGGGCTAAAATAGAGGGGTTTATAGGTGGGGTGGATTAATGGCAAGAAGATTTACAGACTTGTTTTGAGGACCTCTGAGACTTATTTAAAGTTGTTGCAAAGGAGGATTATACACTCACCGGCCACTTTATTAGGTACAGCTGTTCACCTACTTTTTTTTGCAAATATCTAATCAGGCAATCACATGGCAGAAACTCAATGCATTTAGGCATGTAGACAGGGTCAAGAAAGACGATCTTTTGAATTTCAACAAAACAGTCAACAGTAACTCAAATAACCCCTCGTTACAACCGAGGGCCTAATACCTAATAAAGTCGCCGCTGAGTGTATATGACCTTTGACAGGAAATACTTTTTAAATAGGCAAAAAACAGCTGAGGTGGTCTGAATGTTTAATGGCACTGAAAACTTCTAAAGTGGCTCAGATGGATGAAGATTTGACCAAAGCAAGATAAAGGGTTAGTGCTTGGACAGTGACAGCTGCTATGCATAAGAAACACTGGCATTAAAAACAGATCAGAACTGAAGTGGTTCAATTTAATTGGGATGAAGATTCACTTTAAATTGGGCACGGGAGAAAAACAACCGATATGTTATCACAGCATTCTCACTCTCAACACGTACAAAACACAAACACCCACACATCATGTTTTCCATCCAAACAAGATCCACTTAACTGATATGTTTTTTTTTTCCAGTCGGAGTTGTCCTTACCCACCCACACTTGTTATTGTGTGTGTGTATGTATGTGTGTATGACAAGCATGCACAACAACTGCATTCTATGGTTACTGTAGGAACAGAGTTTCTTTTTCTAGTATGAAGCTGAGCTACAGTCACTTCAGGGAAGAATTCGTACATTCTCACGTTCATTTAAACTATGAGGGTTTGTAATTGTTGGTTTGTGGATAAGTAGAGGCCAAAAGAATCGTACTCAGGGTTTGACAAATCTTGGCAAAATAAATAACTTATGACATCACAAATTAAGAATTTCATTGTTTGAACAGACAGGGATGGGCTGATTAGAAACGCACGCACGCAAGCTGGCACACAGACAGACATAAAAAACGACATTGTGAAACCAAGGTGACATTTGTGCAGTCCACTTTTTAAAATTTATTTTACATACTTCATTAATCCCTGAGCGAAATTCTGGTTTACAGTCTGTATTTCAGGACTATGTGCATGAGAAGGATGTCCCTCAATAACTCACATGCACAAAACAGGACCTGTGGACATGCAAAAGTGGAGAGACATCAGAGTGGGGCTGCTACACAGGGAGCACACCAAGGCTGTTTGGGGGTTCAGTGCCTTGCTCAAGGGCAACTTGTCAGTACTGTATTTAGAATTCTACTCAGCTCTCCTCTTTCTCTCGTACGTTGCAAGCAGGCAGCCCAGGTCCGAATCCAACCTGTGGCTCCTTTCCCGCAACAATACGACTTCTAAAACTACCTGCAGGAAGGTTTCTTATTGCCTCTGAAGGGCTCTGATATACGTAAGATAACCCTCTGATCTATCTTCTCTAATCTATTCTGTTTAATGTGTATTTTGTATTTTGAGCTTACTTGTCTGTGCTGCTGCAACGCCCGAATTTCCCCTCTGGGGATCAATAAAGTATCCTATTACCTAGTTATCCTATCCTATCCTATCCTATCCGATACCATAAATCATACCTGAGCCATGTTGAAAATTAAACTTTATGACCCTCGCAGCAATCTGCTGTTTCACTGACTTCTGGTAATCATTTGTTGACGGCTAAATTCAGTTGCATTAGACAGACGGCACGTACATCCACACCCACCCACACGCACAGCGCACTGCTTCGCTTCCCACACACTCGCGGGACATTGTTGGGTGAGATGAGATGCTATTATCCCTCCCAAACAAACAAGCTCTTCCAGGAACACACTGGAACAGGCTGTAGCTTCATGAACACACGCTGAGCTCCGAGGTAAGTATATAAATGTATGCACACACAGAGATCATTTTATACAGGAATAGGGAGGGCACATCTGCCAGACGGCCATACGTAATGCATGCTTTTGTTTGTTGTGATGCACAACAATAATTGTTTACTTGCCAATGGCTTTGTATGTTCTCACTGTTGGTTGATTCCATGCAGTGTGTCACAGCTGTATTGTACATACATATATTCAGATGCTTAAGGAGAAATGTGTGAACTAACAGATCTCTTAAGAAACCTCACTGAACAAAAATTTGTTACCTTTAAGGATGCTAGGATAAAAAAGACACTAACAGACAGCAATGCTTCTATGTTTTAAAATCCATCTCCACTCCAATGAACCATCACAGTGCATGTAGTTTGTACCTGAAGCCGGGGATCATCTTTGCAAAGCCGATGACCTTCTGGATGCTGTACGAGACTAGGTCCGCCAGGTGGGGCAGCATGGAGAGCTTGGTGTCCTCCTCGCTGGAGTCTGGACTGCTCGCCCCGTCCTGGTACATCATTAACAGGTTGCTGAAGTTCATCTTGGTGTCCACAGACTCTGTTTGAGGAGGGGATTAAAGACAGGGTGAGAACGGAGGGGTTATGCAGGGAGAGGGGAGAGGCAGCGGGAGGAAGGGATTAAAAGAATGTGTTTACACACAGAAATAGCAAAGAGACGGAGTGGGGGGAAACCAGGTAACAGCAGCAGGTGAGTTCTCAGTGACAGCTGGGATTACAATATAAACAACAATTCCCAGTTACTTCAAAGAAGAGCTGCAGTATTTATGTGAACTATTAAATGTACTGCCAACTTTTCTTTGGCTATAAATCAGTTTAAAAAACGTATTTTAAAAAGTCAGATTTCTCTGATATCAGCTCCTTATAAAATTAATATTTCCTTGTTTCTTTAATTCTCCTCCGACAGAAAGCTGGATATCTCTGGGTTATGTAATGTTATATTTTTATGTTGAGTACTGACATTACCTCGAATATTTCCAACAGTTATCAAAGCCAAAAAAATCTGTAATTTTATAGTTGTAACGGGACGAGTCTTGTCGCGGCAGCCTGGCATGACAGACACAAATGGTTCATCGTTGCCGTGGAAACACCGGAAGTTCCGTCAAAGACGTCTACATGAGGAAGCGTGAGCTGCTGCTGGAAGCTGCCGTACTGTTGCTGTATGTGCTGCTGTGATAAAAAAACGTGGGGGGGGGGGGGGGGTTGTAGCAGAGAGAACTCCCATGATTCCCCCCTAGTCTCGACGTCATCTTTTGTAATTGTTTCGATAGAGAGCTACCCCCGACGGCGGATTTTACAAACTGTACGTTTAATATCATTTAAAAAATCAATACTTGACGGCCATGAGACGATATCATACTCAAAATATCGTCATACTATGCTGTATAGATTTTTCCCCCCACCTCTACTTTTCAGATTGTTCTAAGCAAGTGAATATGATGTTACATTTACATTTGATAACATAACATGAGAAATAAAACACCTTGAACTAATCTCTCCTCCTTTTGGCATCTCTGTTCAAACTTACATACGTCAGTAGAATATCTCACTCCGCATGCAACTATAACAAACAGCGGGAATACGGACACACCAAGGACGACATACAAAGCACAGAAACTTCCACAATATGGAACACGATCAGTACCTCTATGTAAGATTGTGTGTGAGTAATCATGTGTTCCTGCATCCTGTTCATTATCAGAGTAATTATTGTATAACCTTGAGTGTTCTCAGTATTACGCTGCTCAGAATCCAATCTAAACTAGACTTGTATTAATAAATCAATGGATGTTGTCGTCATGCCTGTGTCTTTGTTAAAGTTAACCCTGAGTGATGAAAGCAAACAAGGACAGAGGAGAGGGAGTGAGTCGGTGAGCCTCACCGGGTGAGTGGTTGAATGAGTCAGAGGAGGCGTCAGACAGAGACTGAAGGGAGGCGGCTCTGCTGGCGCTGCGCGTTACTGGGCCTTCACGCACCGGAGGCTGTGGATGCACCGAGAAGGAACACAAATATTAACACAATCACAGCTTGGTACACCGCAGCCTTGGAGCTTAGGACTCTAATCCTGTACAAGAACAGATAATCAGCACACACCAGGAGCCGCTTTCACACTGCGGGATCAACAGGTTACCTGGATGACTCCACCACGTTCCACATTTGACAAGGTGCAAAGACGCTTAGAGCCATAAATCAGATGGTTTTTTTGTATCAAGTTGGGTTGTATAATGTACTTACTTACTACCCCCGTATTGATTAGTAGAGCATACAAACTCACTTTTAGAGGTCTGAAGCAGCCTATTAAATCCTGCTTTGTAAAACAATGATTAATTTACATTATAATAGGAAACATCATACCAGAAGTAAATGATGGTTTACTATTTTTGGTGGCAGCCGTAGCTGTAGTCTGTAGGGACTTGGGTTTGGGAACTGGAGGGTCGCCGGTTAAAGTCCCGGGGCGGACCAAATATGAGGGGCTGACCAGATTACAGCCAAGGCGCACCGAATCACCAACCACCCAAGTATGTATATAAAAAAAAATTCTTTACCTCTACAGCTCCAAATAAATACGTTTCCATGGCAGCAGGCTGTTATTTCTGAACTACATGAAGTACACAACTTGTTTTGATTAAAAAAAATCTGTTTTGTTTCAGTTTTTCAAAATTTTCTTTGCACTGGAAAATGTAGTAACTGATGTGCTGATGGCAAGCTTCAGGAGACCCTCCCTGCTGCTGCATGACATCATGAGGAGCGCATCCACCCAAATTCAATTAAAGATGAACAAACTGATGATGTCAACAATGTGCAGTGTGGTTTAATGTAACAAAAGAAACTTTGCACTGGACTGACCCTGAAGCGGGAGAAGTCCGAATAGGAGGCATCGTAGGTCTTGTGATGAGCTTCCACCAGGGAGGAGATGATCCGGGTCTGCTCGTCGTTCAGACGAGGCCTCATCGCCTCCCGGGCCGCCTCCTCCTCTTTCCTCTTTACGATCATGTCCTTCTTCCTCTGAACTTCCTCGTCCGTCAGGATGACTGCAATAGATAACACACGTTGGAGAAATTATTCAAATAGTCTGAGGTGAAAATCTTTAAGGATGCTTTCTCTTACAGCGAGCAGACGCTGTGTGCAAACGCTCCCGAGCACACAGCTCGGAAGAACGCTAGGTGGACATAAGATCTTATTGGGGATTCAGCACCTGGTTGTTATACACTGTTATGGAGTTACACTGGTTTTTCTTTACAATCCTTTTTATACTCTATCATCACTTTTTAAGAGGTTATGGCATTTAAAAATTAGGAGGGACGTCATGAAATTTGGCCAAACTGGGATAAAGTTTCAGGTCGGAATATGGCGCTAAGAGACAGACGTCGGGGGGAATGTTGCTACTTTTCAATACCTAAACAAAGTTAGCCTTAAAACTAGGTGAAGGAGCAGTAATGTGGGCTCCATCCCGGGCTACATGGACCATACATCTTCTTAGTTCAGCATGCAGAGGCCTGTCATGTCAGCTCTCTTCTTCATACAGCTGATGCGGCGGGTGTTGGATGTTTAAGTGCCTTTTCCTTATTCATGCAGTAGGAGCAGAGACAGCAGGCAGAGCGGCACGGTGGTGCAGAATGGATTATACATACTGTTTATAGTGACTCTTTTAGGTTTGACAAGCTGAGAGGCCCTCTTGGGAATTCCTGGGTTTGCGTGCCACTTTCACGTGTCCCAGAGCATTACATTACTTTCTCATACTCTCAACACTTATTATTTATGGCAGATCGCAACAGATTTACTTTAAGCTCTCAATTCAAAACACATTTTACTGTTACATAAAGAACCTATACTGTTTTTGTAGTATTTTTAAATTCCAAAAAAGACTCTCAAATTCCATGCTGCCTTTGCCTAAAGGGTACCAAAAAAGTAGGACGGTACGGATCACTTATTTTGGTACCATTCCAAACTTTTGACGGTGGAAACGCCAATAAATGGGTACCGTACCGACCGAACTAAACCGCTTGGTGGAAACGGGGGCTTACTATATATGTGTGTATATTTAATTTTATTCTGAAATTGTGTAATTCTATTTGCTTAGTTGTTTTATTTGTCTATTAAGAGGTGAGGTCCCTTGTGATAAGCCTGTTGGCTTCTTGACCTCTCCTGACACACCTTTTATATATTTTTTGTTAATCCTATTTGATGTATTCTTATATGTGTGCTAAATAAATAAATAAAAAATACTGTATGTGCAGTATTGCTTGTTGTACTGTAGTATGATGATTGCTACAGTATGAGGTGTGTATGATTTGATTCATGTATCAATTCAATTCAGGAAGCTTGATCTTATTCACAACTGTGGAAAGCATTTTTAATTAATATATTCTTGTGTTTTTCATCCTGAGTCTAGCTGTAGTGAAATGTGCTTCATAAATAAAATTGCTATTGCGATTAAAATGTTTTCATTTGATAAACATAATGACGTTCTTTAAGCCTCTCCTGTGACTTTATGCATTAACACTAATGTGTGAACAGAACAGGGCAGAGCTGAGAACACTGTCTGGCACCACAGCTGTTAAATGCAGTGTGAATAACCAGCAGTGCAGTGAGAAGAGGAAATATTATGCAGCGAGTACTGAACAGTCATCTGTGGAGAGCTGCGATTAACGGCTGGATATGAGGGAAACACAGAGCTCGTAATTTCTCTGTCAATTGGCTTTGTCACATTCAAAGGTAAGATCAGAGCGCAGACTGAATGAAGGAGGTTGCTATGCCTAAAAATATAAGAGGCTACCCTCATCTGAAACAATCAGGCTGTCATCACACCTTCTGATTGAGTTTGGTTTGTACAGGAAATAAACTGTAGTACAACTAGTTTCATTTAGAGCCCCGTGAGAAACAGCCAAACATCTGCACGTGTGCTGCAGAGTGGCCGCTGATGGTGTAAAACAGGAAATCTGCTGGTTCTTCAGAGTTTATCAAATGCAAAAACAAGCAGCTCAAATGATTAGTGTGTGGATTTGACATCTGTGATAAAATGCTCTAAAGTGATCCTTTTCATGGAACATTTTCCTGTTAAACCACTTTGGAAAAAAAAGTATCACTGTCAGTGTTATGATTGAGTTATACGATTATGCATGTCATGAAATTCAAACCATGCATGAACAACATCTGCCCGTCAGTCCCTGCCTGAACAACTCATCGGCATACACTGAACACACCAACATAACTACCATCTATTGAACTGCGCTCAATTCAGGAATGGGTTCATCTCCTGTACGTTTCAGAACATGATGTTTCTTTTGAAGTAAGACGCAGGAGGAGGAGGGTTATGTCATCAGGGTTTCATGCTGTAGACGACAATGAGAACATAAGAGACAGTAAAGAGTGACATGCTGCCTGAGCATGCAGGAAGCTGTGCAGAGAACACAGAGCTGATGACACTACAGACACTACAGCTACAAATGGGGACAATATTAGCTGATAAAATGTCATATCTTGATTGCAGGTTTGCAAGGCAACTGCACACATTTTTCAATCTAAAAATTGCTCACATGGAGCAAACATTGAGCCCACATTAGATAATTACAGTTCAATCGCATAAAGAAAAAAATCCTGGCTCTCGGGTTCACTGTGCTGCAGTAATGCACTGACCCCTGCATGCCTCGGCCCATATTATCCATTTGACTCTCTGCCACAGTGACCGATTACCCATGAAGCACTCAACTGTGCAGACCGACGGACAGACAGCGCGACTGCCAGACGAACCACGACTGCCAACGAGAGACGGGCCAAGAGCCACGAGGTCACAACACGCACCGATACGACAAGTCTGACCGTGTTTTAAGCCAAAGAGGAACGGCCTCACTCCGCCGCATATTTGACCAACATTACATTTAGCTCCATAGAACGATGCTCTTTGTTTATTTCTGTGGGCATGGATGAAAGCCTTTAAGAGGGGAAACATTGATGCAGAATATAAGCTCCTTAAAGCACATTATTTTCTTTGGCCATAATAGTAATAATAATTTTTACCCTACAAAGTAAAATGTGTAGAAACAAATATAAACACGCATCAGAGGGACACAGCCTGTTAGTGCAGTTAAGAAATATGAACTAAGGTTTAATAAACTACAGGTACAACCTGCTGTCTTTAATATTCAAAAGATTCCTTTTAATAAAAATCAGCTTTCAAAGAGATCTATGCTACTCAGCTAGCTATCATCAGGTCTTCAGACGGATTGATACCAGAGTCTTGGAGCTTTAACAGAGAAGGCTTCGTCAGCTTTGGCCACAAACACACGATATTAAGGACTTGATTGCAGGATCTAAATGTCAGTTCTTTCAGGGTAAAGGATGGGACATTTTAAAAACAGCTCTTAAATTCACTGGTAAGCAGTGAGGTGGAGCTAAAAGCTGAATGATGTACATTTTACTTTAGTAGATAAGAAGAAGCCTCCTCTGATTCAGAGTGAAAGGGTTAAACTGTTAAACTTCTTTATCTAATGGTGGTACCGACATTCCTCCAATGTTAATAAAGTCTGTTGTCACAAGGCAAGCTACAACTCTAAGCCTTTAAAACCCAGGTACATATTTGTATCAACGGAATAAATACACAAAATAAATACCTACTTTACAGTAACTGCTAATCCAAGAAACCCATGAAATTAGATTGGTTAAGTCTAAATTAAATAGTGCTCGGATCAGGCTCTTCATACTAACTGCTGGTTTGTTTTTCCTTCAAGCTGTAAACAACCACATTTGAAGTGGATTTTCACTGATTGCACTCTGGATTGCAACCACAGAAGCAGAGTTACATAACCGCATAATGTGGTGAAGCAGAAGACAACAACCAACATTTTGGTTACACAGGCTTAAAAAGGCAACTGAAAGAGTACCGACTGCTACGCTAACCAAAAGGATTTACTTGGCTTTCATCGTTTTTTTTTCTCTTTAAACCCAGCGTCATTAATTAGGCTCTGGATGCGCTCCAGTGTCCAACCTGCCCTCCTGAGCCAGGAGCAGACTTGCCCAAAAAAAACCCCACTCCTTGTGGTGAGGACATCCAAGAATGCAGCACCAAGCTCCGATCATGAATAGGCACAGTTTGGTCAAAGTTTGGCACGGTGCGTCAGAGCGGCTATTCTGAGGCCCGGGAACATGATTGAACCAGTCAGCCTCCAGCCAAGTTTGAGCCCTTTTGTGGCATCATTAAGGCAGCAGTCCACAAAAAACAACAGACCATCAAAAGGGAACATCTTGACCACCCCGCAGCGCTTGGCAGACGCGCAGCAGTTTACCAAGAAGAAGCTTGCTGTTTGGAAAGTGTCTGATTCGGTGTGTGGATGTGGTGCCCTGAATGGCAGAGAGGTGCCAAGAGAGAAAGACAAACAGTTGGAGAGGGGGTATGGGGGTGGGGGTGGAGGGGGGTGGGGGGGTCAAACAAAAATAAGGGATTGGCCAAAATCAGTGATGCCAAAGAGACACTGAGAAAGAGGGGAAAGGCAGAGTGTCCCTGTCGTGGAGGCTGGAGTTTCACAGCAGGTTTACTCATTAACCAGCAGAGTGACCAGTTCCAACACAATGGATTCTGCTCACGCTCAGATTTGGTGTGATATATGTCACGCCGGATTTGGTGCGGGGCCAATATTTTTTTTACCCCGTCGCCCTCGCACTGTGATGTTTAAGAGGTGAATTCAGGTCAGTCAGGCGTCAGGGCACCCACACATGCTGAGTGTGACGCAAAGCGGCTTATCAATAGATCACAAGGGAAGCGTGCACGGTGGTAGGAAGGCGGGGTGCATTAACACAATAGGTGGCGATGGATTGTTGGGTTTTTCATTTACATGAGCTGAATTCTGACCAATCGTGCATCTGAGTTTTTTTATGAGGCAACATTTCAGAATCTTTCCTTCATTTTGTTTTGTTTTTATTTCCTGGTCGTGTTGCTGCATTGAAAGATTTCAATGACTGAAACGATTTCCAAGTTAGATTCAGAGAGCTTCAATTTAACTGTAAATTTCTGGTTTCTAACAAATTGAAGAAAAAA